TCTCAAGTTAAAATACAGCACTGTTTTTCAAATGCATGTTTTCTTCCCTTCCTAAAGAGAGGTGAAGCTTTGTTACTCTTTGCAAGGGATCTTGTGATCCCTTTATGAATGCTGTGTCCCATGCATCATTGACTCCATAGGAAATCAAACCAAAAGGCATGTCAAGAAATCAGAATTTGTGTTCCCTCTTTTATAAGATACCAGTTTTTATGGGATCTTTTTTGCAAATTTGTTGTGAAAAGCTCAACAGGTACTGAATTATCCAATGATATTTTACATTTTCCTCAACAAATTACTTAAACTGTTGATTGCAAAATATTTGTGCACTATTTCTGATGGCAAAGAAGCCTACTTACAGGCTGGACTGCTTGTTCCCCCAGGAGACTGTGGGACACCCATAGGAAAGCTGTATATTTTTTAGCCCATATGGTGGCCTGTACAACTCACATGTGCTTCAGATAAAGCTGGGGGAGCCCAGTACATTCTGTGTGGTACCAAGGGTGTGTGTGGGGCTTTTCAGGGTCTCTTCCCAGCCAGTCTTGGCTGCAGCACAGCAGTTGCAAGTGGCAACTTCTTTAAGTCCTTTCCCAAGAGCTTTCTGAATTGTTTTTGTCAAAGCAAACTGCAAATGAAACCCACTTCAGTGCCGTGGGGTCTGATTTCTTTTCTTCTTTCTTTTTTTTTTTTTCTTTTCAGCAAATGTGTGTAAGCTGAAGTATTTGGAATAGAAAAAGCTTGCTAGACCCTTCCTAATTCTCACTTTTGAGCTCAAGAAAGGTGCTGCTATGAGTGATGTCAAAACAGCTCCTTTGCTTGCTATGCAAACCCATATAGGCAGTCTTGTTTCTCTCGAAACACAGATTTATCTGTAGAGATAATCAAAAGCCTGCATCATCCTCAAGTAAGGGCTGTTTGTGATGCCTACCTCCCTGATTCCTGGGATTTTCAGCAAACGGACATCCCCTTTAAACCTGCATTTCTGCCTCCTATCTTTTCTCTTTGAAGCCAGAGGGTTGGCTGGCCTTTGAATAGACAAGGATGAGAGCACAGCAGTGGGAGGTCCGTGTCTTGCTCATAAACCTTGGCCAGAAAATCGGCTCTGACAAGTGGGGACAGGTAGCAGCATCTTCCCCCTTATCAAATGGCACGGTGGAGCAGACACATTCCTGCAGGAGCCCGGTGGGGTGGAAGGTGGGGCCTCCTGAATGTGCCTTGTGCTCTGCTTCACCAACTTGGTATAGAACTGTGTTGTTTCTGTACAAAACACCTTGTTCTCTCATTGTCCCTGCCCCTTGCGTGCTGCTTTTAATGTGTTCTTTGGCTTTCTCTTTTTCAGCAGAACCTGGAGAAAATGTTTATCTGTGGTTGCAGTGCTTGGGGACTTTTGGAGGTGCTATGTCATGCCTTTGCACCTCAAACTATTGTATTGCATGGCTTGGTACAGCCCAACCTTTTCCTGGGGAAAAGCTTTCCCCGGGCCTCCTACAAAAATTTCCCTCCCTCTTGTGTAAAGCAATCATCATTAGCTCTAATTGGGCAGCTTTGGGGTTAAATCTACAAAGATTGCTTGGGTTTGGTAAATCCTCTGCCACTGCAAAGCAGATAATGCTAAACAAAAGATTGCCTTGATTAGATTAAAGTTGGCAAATTCATTGCCCTAATCATCATATTGCCCTTCCCGTGGCTATTCAGGAATACATCACCGTAACTTACTTGAAGTAATTGAATATAATTGTCTTTTTAACTCGTATGTGTAAAACATCCATCTTTGTTAACAGCATGTGTTGCTGTCCTGCTGCCAGCTCACAGTCCTCTTCTGGAGGGGTGGGAACAAGAAGCAGAGCCAGGCTGACGTTTATGAATTGGTAGTTGATTGCCTATAAAACCATTCATTATTTCTGACCAAGCACCTGGAAGAGAATAAAAATGAACAGCACCAGCCACTGGGGCCCGTAGGCTTGGCTGGTGCTCCCAGGCAGGGAAGCAGAGGGGAAGTCATGAAGGGGAACGTTGCAAAGGGATGTCAAAAAAAACAACCCTTTCCCTTGCCCTTAGTGGCAGCAAAGCACAGGGCACATGGTGGGGTTACAATTGGGAGTGTGAAGCAGATACCCAAGGCAGAGGCATTGCTGAGCTTCCCATGGGCAAAATAGGTTGAAATGCTAAAAACAAACCAAGAGTACAGTGGGAAGGAGGAAGTTCATGGAAATTTTTTCTCCCATTAATAATCTGAGGTGTGAGGAGGGAGAAATTCTCTTCAGATGTCAATTTTATACCAACAGATAGCTAGGAAAGGAGGCCAGGCAGCAAACAGCCTGTGTTTCTATTTCCCAGCTCTCCTGAGTGACAAGGAGAGACTCTTTTAGCACAGAAATTTCCAGTATTATCTCAGCAATCAATCATGTAGAAATGCATAGGTACAAAATAAAACATAGCTGGCCTGGCTTTTAAGAGATTCAGTTTGACCTGTTTTTAGTAGTTTTATCATTATTAATAAATTAAATTGCCCTAGGGGACAGGCCAAAGGATTAGAGTGACTCCACATCATTAAAACTCAGCGGCGATGTCCAATACAGTTTCAGCCCAGGTCAGCTCTCACTTTCCTGCACTCAAGGGGATTAACTCAGCCCCAGACCTGTCCATTAGAGTCACAGTGACCATCCTATTTTGGAAGGTTGCTAATCTTCACCTGTAGGGATGCCACCAGCAGCACTTGGGTTGATCCCAGGACCACAGGAGTTTTCTTGCTTCTTTTGGTTTATTTGCATAAATATGGGGTGAGCACTGCAGGAAGCCCAGCCTAGGGGCTCAGACTGGAAGAGATGTTTGTGTTGTTTGCCACTGGATGTCTGTGCAGGGACAGTTGATATTGTGACCATGCTTTGTATGTGATGATGTAAAAGCTCAACTCTGGTCCCCACAGCAGCCGTAGGTTGTGGCAGGGAACAGCAGTGTCCCTAGGGAGGAGGACAGCAGCTGTAGGTGTCTGCCAGCCTAGGTTGGAGTCGGAGCTGAGCATGGTTTGGGGAGACCAGAGGTTTTACTGTGCTGTATGAGCAGGGGATAGGGTGTGACAGCTAAACTCTCATGTATTTTTGATCTGGAAAAACACGGCTTGCCTCTTAAAATGAAGAATTCCTACAAGTGTCCTTATGTAACAGATCGTCCCTACTCAGGACACTTAAAGGGTGAATCTTCCTCCTGCAGAAGCAAATCCTGAAGGATCCAAGTTCATTCTCTCCCTGAGCTGCTTTTGGGAGAGGAGGGGAGGGGGGCAGAAGCGGGGGAGGTGGTTAACAGTTACTCTACTGTGTCCTGACATTAGGCAAACTGCAAAAATGCTCCCACTGTATCAGGTAGTGTGAGGTGCCAGCCCTTTGCTGGAGCACGGAGAGCAAGTCTGCTGCAGAGCCCTAAATACTTTCCACCCCGACTACCTTAGCTTAACGCCTTTCAGCAGAGTTGGCAGGAGGGTTGTTTTTGTGTAGTCTCTCACCTCTCCCAGCAGCCTGGCTGACGCGCCTGTGCCGCACTGTGCTCAGGGATTGAGCGTTGCAATGGGAGTAGGAGCCGCAGATCCTCTCGCTGATATGCCGGGAAAGACGTATATGAGGATTACACGCAGGCTTTGCACGAGGGACCCACGCGGAGCGCAGCCCCACCGGACACAGTCGGCGTAGCGCTGGTGCAGCTGGAGTCACAGATGCAAAAGGCTGAATTTTAAGTCTTTTGTAGAAAAAGAGTTTGGCATTTCTGAAGTTTGCTGAGCAACAGCAAGAGACTTGGCCCAAGTCTTGACACTTTGGTTTTGGATGGTGCTTCCCCAGTCTCCAGAGAGATGGTACCTGTCGCGGAGGCAAGTTACGGTGAAATACCGAGCACAGGCTGGGTTTTGAATTGCTCACTTAGGAGGTTGGATTTGTTTTATTTTTGGTCTCCAGCTAGACAGAAAGGCCAAGAAGCCAGAGAAAGAATGGTAAAACCTGCAACAATATGAAGTAATCTTTAATGAAGAACTTCTGACTGTTTGTAAAGGCAGAGCAAGACCAGCCTTTTATTTTTAAACTGGTCGCTGCCACAGATGTAGAAAGGGGCATCTTTAGAGACGCGCGGAGCCCTGTTGGAGGGCGATTGTACGGGATCGCTATTGCGGTTGTGTGGTATCGCTGTCGAGACTCTGCTAATTCTATTTCTTTCTCTTGCTTCTGTAATTTTAGCAGGAAAGGCCCAGGCGGCCAGGCAGTATTGTTGGGGGTGGTGAGGAGAAATAACCTGATGAATTTTCCATCAGCTCAACTCACTCAAATATTCTCGCCGTTAACTTTTGGGGTCAATAATAAATATTAAAACCTGTAGATTTAATAAGTCAATGTAGGTGTTCGCTGCCTTTTGAGACCACTTTATCTTTCCATCAAAGATGAAACAAGCTTCTCAAATGAATAAAAAATAGGGCCTCAAGTGATTACAAGTGAGAGCAATTTGAGCTCCTCTCTCAGAACCTGGCAGTAGGCACTTCTGAGCCTCTTCTGACTGCCTAGACATTCTGCTTTAGCGCTGCTCTTGCTGTTATATTTTTAGGTAAATATTTCCAACTTGTGTGTACAGACCTTCAGGAACAGTGTTTGCTGCCACTCCAGGCTTGAGGGACGATGCAGGTCTGGATCCCACCAGGCTCTGTTGAGGCTGATTTGCGTTGCAAGTCTAGTTTTCCTTGGTGCTTGCTATAATCTCCTCAAGTTCAAAGAGCGCTTAGCTGCTTGTCTTTGTCAAAAACCCTGTTGGAGATCTTTTATGTCGAAGATGTAGGATTTTTCCGCATGACTTTGATTATTTATTCATTCCACTTCTCTGGTGTATGATAGCGCTGATATCATGAAGACCCCTTGTCTTGCACTGCTCTTGCTCTGAAATTCATGGAGATTTAGTGCCTTTGAAATTGTTTTAAAAGGGAAGGAAAAGTTTTTGAAGTCCCTTTTTTTTTCTTCTATTCCCCATAACAGTGCCGCAGCACATTTTTCCGGCCTTCCACGCTCCTTTGCCAATTGACATGCGCCACCAGGAAGGACGATACCATTACGAACCTCACTCTATCCACGCTATCCACGGGTAAGTCTTACACCTCCACTCCCGTGCCTCACTAAAATGTCAGCCACCTGCAGTATTCCAAATCCCACTGCTAAAGTCCCTGGGACTCACGGCCCTTCTGGCAGGCTGGCCCTACTGGCCACCCTCCACCTCATTGTCCCCATCAGTGACAATACTGACCTGCCCGGCAGGAGGGCTTTACAGCTCTGTTAAGCTGACAGAAGTGCCCTATAGCAGCAGGATGGGAGTATAGGGCTCCTTTGTCATTATCCAGCTCAGCTCCAGGGAACAGGCTTGACTTGTGTTTTTCCACCCGCTGTGTTTCTCGCATTGTGCCTTGCCTGGGTCATTTCTGCCACCATCTTGGCAAAGACCCAGCGCTGCTCCCTCTCTCTGGAGACCTTGTGTACCATTCCTCCCTGCCTGCCAGTTGTGGGGATGGTGGCAAAAGGCTGCTGGGAATGCCGTAATTCAGTTTGATTTCACTGGACAACAGCCTGAATGGGCTGGTAGCATTTTCTAAAAGCAGTCATAAGTCAGGTTCTCATGGGGGTGTCCATGTCCACCCTGGAAGGGTAGGACTCTGAGTTTTGCTGGTGACCTTCTCATGAAAGCCTCCTCTCCCTGAAGCAGCTGATGGGCAGTGAGCACAGAGACTGGTCAGGGGCTACACCCTGAGAGGGGGGGTCATGGTTAATCTCTTCATCCAGGGACGTTACAGCTCAATAGTTCTTGATGACATGAAGGAGATGTTTACAGAGAGATCTGTTTTCACCTCCTGTGAATTTTGATCAGGGCAAGGAAAATGGAGCCAGCAGGGATCTGAGCAGTGATTCTAGTTATAGTGGGGCTGGAAGTGTTTCTTCTAATCCCTGACATGCACCTTTCCCATGAGAGGTGAGGAGCAGTGTGATGGGGCTGGCAGTCCCACGGCCATCCCAAAATCCTTCAACCTGCAGCTGTAACACAGGGCTCAGACACTGGCTGAGGGACAGGTCCCAGAGCACTGGCTGTAGGGGAACCACTGAGGGCCAGAATAATTTTTCAAAAACAAGGAAAGAACAGCTAGGGCTCATCATTTAAAAAACTCTCATTTGATCTCCTGGAGTCCTGTTGCAGCCTTGGGCAGGGGCTGTGCTCACCCAGGTTTGCTGGAGCTGTTAGTGGAGCTGTGCTGCTTCTGGATAGGTGTGAGCAGGGGAACAGACCCTGGGAAGCAAGTAATGCAGACAGCAGCAGCCAGATCTGTGGAGCCCCACAGCTACCGCAGCTTTATTCTGCTTCCAAAATACTGTAAGAAATAAATGATAGGGCATTCGCCCGGATCCTACCAGAAGACAAGTCATTGTCTTTTAGGCTGACAGTCAATTTGACTGGATGGTTAAAGGGGCAGAGCAGCTTCTTCCATGCTGTGTGCAAAGGGGAAATGACAAAGCAAGTTGCTAACATGGGAACTGGGGGGGATTAGGGAGGCTGCATGAAATAGTTCTGGTCTTTCATGCAAAAATTGTAGAAAAAAAGACAGAATAATAACTTGCTGGGAGATAGTTATTAAGCCAGAGCTCTGGCTAATAAAGCATGTATGGAAGAGGGAGATAATCAAAACAGTGGTTAGAAGAGAGGCTGGCAGATGTCCTGATGTTTGTCACAGGTTATTTGTGTGCCCCAGTCCGTGTTTGCCTTCAGTCCTCACATGGAAGTTTGGGGGCACTGCACATACTCTGGGGCTCCACAGCAGTTTCTATGGTGGGGTCATGAGGCAAGGTCTTCTACAAAATGCAGCTGAGAGCTTGCCACTGATGCTACATACCTATGAATCATAACCCCAGTAACCCCAGTACTTTTTCATATTGGCTTTGTCCAGCTGACTGACCCTGGCTAAGTGTACAGCCCTGGCAGATCAGGTTTCAGTTCATCTGCACCAATATTAATAATTTACTGTGTTAGCAGTTACCACATTTGTCTATCAGTGGACCAAGAGTATTAGTATTTGGGTGGAATTGTTGGCAAATACCTGTTGCATTTCTTCTTTGGGATTCCTCTCCTTCCCAGCAGCTTGTCTCACAAAACTGACTTGCGAGCTATGGGAGAGAAAACTTGGTTGCAGGTAAGAGAAAACATAGTCCTCCTTGAAGCTACCTGGGCACTGCACTGAAAGGTGCCTTTGTGGCTGGGGATGCTCCAAAGCTGCCAAGTGCTTCTAGGCTGTGACAAGTTTTTAGGGTCGAGGGAATGTCGCTTCCATTTGTTTGTTTGTCAAGAAGTACCCTGCGCTATGGCACAGCCATATTGGGAAAATTCTCTGCAGCTGTGGTCTCAGTCCTTTTTCCTCTTCAGATTTTATCTGCCAACATCTTAAAATCATGTATTGCCCTTAACTCCTCTTGTTTTTTATTCTATATCTCTTTCGTCTTTCTTCTCTCTCCTCCAGTCTCTGCTCTGGAGGTCACACTGTAGCGCTCACCCTCCTCGCTGGAGGATGTCCAGTGTGAAATCATCCAGACATGGTGGTAGACCTGGGCTAGAGCGTACTTGGTGGTTGCATGGCTCCTGTCCAGTACACTGGACAATTTATGCCGTCAGCTCATTCGGGCTGTTGTCCAGTGAAATCAAACTGAATTACGGCATTCCCGGCAGCCTTGTTCAATACTCCATGGGCACAGATGAGCTTCTAGAAGTTTGTACTTCATCCTGATGGGGCAGCAATCAATCCTTTTTGTTTCAAAAGTAAACAACCCGTAAAAAAACCCCAAGGGCATATGCATATTCTCACTCTAGAAAATTATGGCAAATGTTTGGAAGAAAAATTGCGTCACTGAGTTTTGGCTTTATGATTAATGTGATGGGTGCCTGACAGAGAGCCCCCAATTCATCAAGTCTATATTCTACCTGTCTGCTGCCTTGACAGTACCAAATTTATCTAATTATGTGAACGTTGCACGGCAAATTAAGTGCAGTCTCATTTGTTGCTAACTATGGGGTCTTATTATCTGCCTGCTGTATTATGTCAAAGGTTTGTTTCCTGATTGCTCGATGTGACCTGGCAGTGCATTCCCCTTCATCACTGTTTGCATTCGGCCTAATGAGAGCATACGTTATTTTACCTCAACTGGAGAGAACTCATCTGCAAGGCTCTCTTGAGCAGAACCACCTGTGGGACCCTTTGCTTGGGAACACAGATGGGAATGTGAAAAACTTGAGTAAAAAAGGACCCCTTGTGCCAAGATGGGCCTGAAAGACTTGCTGTGTTTCTCCTCAGTATTGTCATTCCTGGTGTCTCAGTGATTTTCTTGTTAAGCAGCATGACAAATAATTTTCAGGACATGAGTCTTCTTCTAAACCACTGAGGATTTATTACATATGTCCAGAAGCAGATTATGTTGGGGTTTCCTTGAATTCTACTTTTAGAGATTGTTTTGGTGTTTCTCCAGTCATTAGGACAACCCACTTTTCTGTACAACCACTGTTGGTTTTACTTGTTTGGTGGTGAATTTTTTAGACATCTTTAATATTTGGACTTTTTTTTCTTAGCATGAACAATAATTTGACAGAATTGTGGTGCTTGCTTGGCTTGTCTAGAAAAATAAAGTGTCTCATTCAGATGATTGTCCTGGATTGCAATGATAGTGTGCGTGTGGTAAGATGGAGGATAGAGGGAGAGGCAGGATTGGAGTCCAGTGGACACCGTAAAGAATGCAGTGCAGAATGGAGTGAGACTGAATATGGGATGAAATCTATTCCAAGAATGTAGAACTAGAGCAGAATGAATAGAAGAAATTGTATTGGTGCATAAAAATGGTATGAGCCAACATTTCCACAATATAACATTCATTTAACAGTAAGTAATACTACAATACTCAAAGGCTAAGAAAAGACAGAAAAATAAATTTGGAGGTTTTGCGTTATTCTGGAGATACTGGATCAAATTACAGAGCCACATACTCTTTCTTCTCTGTGATCCTCTCTTCCAGAGCACAGGATGGCCCAGGCTCTGTGGAAGAGCAGTGGTGGGTCTTACATGCATTTTCTGCATGCAGCTTTTATTGATTTGTCAGAATTTCACTCTTTGCTGCAGGTTGTAGGTCAGCATTATTTGAGCAAAAATCATCAGCCAGGTGTGTGCAGGCTCAAAGCTGAACCAGAGAAATTCACTTCCTAAGTTAGTATAGGTCCTTTTCTAATAAAAGGGGTGTTTTGTATTTTAGTGAACTTCTTCACAAAAACCTAATGCACTGGGGCCTGGTCTCTGCTTTAAGCTAAGGGGACAGCATCAGCTTTGCAAGACCAAGCCCTTGACTAAAGAGGAAAGTTGCTGGCAGATATGGAAGGTGATTACATGCTTACCTGTGTTTTATTATTATTATTTTTTAAATCACAACAAAAATAACTAAAAACTCCTTAGCTCAGCTTAAAAGTCCCTGCCAATGCAGGAGCCTTTGGGGCTAACCCGAGTAAACAGCATGTCTAGGCTTGACACAGCAAGAAGCTTTTTAACAGTAGCTCCTAAACTGTGGTTAAAACCCATCAGGCATTATGCACTGTAAAAAACAAAAGCAGCCTTGTTTTTCTACCAACATCCTGGTGGTGTTTTAGGATGCAGTTCTGACATTATTTATTAACAAAATATTGTGTTACTCTTCTGTGCAGACATAAAAATAGTAAAAACACCCCAAACCCTGCGCTGATAATCACAAATTCCATGGTTTTCATTAGGATTGAATTATCCCAAAGACCTAAACATAGAGACGACTCCATCTCCATGATAATGTGGAGTTGCCCTTATTTTCCCTCTGGTAGGGATTTTATCTCATTTAATCAAGGATATTCCTCCATTTCCCTGAAATCTTAATATATTATTGCAGATTTTTCCTGATATCCAGCCTACACTTTTTTTCTTTATCTGATTTTATTACCCCTCCCTGTTGAAGTTTGTTTCCTTTTTACTGTGTTAAAACTTACAGGATACTTTTTCAGGACCAGTTAAAAATGTTCCTGAGCTGTTTATGCAGGGTGATTCACAG